GTCGTGTAGCTCCACAGCGAGCGGTACGACCTGAGGCGGGCTCTTCCTCAAGGGCTGCTGGCGATTTTAATTATCTAACTACTTCCAGAGGTCCAACTCGGAAGAAATGTTCCAACTAGTAAATAATTGCAGTTATCATTGCATCAGTTGAGTTTAAAGAGCTGACAAACCTCTCTAAACTCAAAGCACAATTAGTCATTAGGGTCTAGTTTTTCAGCACTGTTAAGCAATTTGTAACCCATTCCTTTTAATAGGGTTATGCATTACTTAACCGACACAGATGTCTTGAAAACTGAAACCGCTGGTTATGAAGCAGCAGCCTTGTTCATTAGCTTCCATGATAGTCAAATCATCTATAAAACCAGTGTTTAATGGCCAGCCGATGAATAATCAATGTCTCACTTTTCATCTGAGTGTGAAAGTGAGAATAATCTAATACACTGTCCCCCTGGTAAAACGCGAGGCCTTGGGTTCCGTTTCTATTCAGGGCTGATTTATAACCCAATGGAAACCTGATGTAAACATATGATCAATGAGTCCCATCATTGCTGATAATAACCCCCAACCGGCCCACTCCCTCATCTCAAAAGCCATCCCTTTAGGCTATTAGTTTCGTCCAGCTAATCCTCTCTACTATTTCTGCCTGCTGCTTTTACCTTGGCCATCCGTTCAGTCCAGCAGACTCAGAAGTAATTTTATACGCAGCAGAGAGCGGGTGGAATTGATTTTTCACTCAGTGCTCAGTTCCCATCTGAATAATTATCAATTTTACTGCCTCATAAAGGGAAGAGTCAAAATTTCAAATCAATTCAAAAGAGCTTCTGAGACTACAGAAACTGTGCATGAGAATAAAGGTCAAAGTTGTCAGTGACCTCGGGAGATGATGTCAGATATTAGTACACTGAGTAGTTGACATCAGAGGCACTCAATATGATATGACTAGTGCTAATGCAAATCATATTTATGCTGACTACTGGAGACCAGCCATTAATATTTAAAAGAGCATGTGAAAGCCTGCATTCAAAATAAATATAACGTATTCCGCAGAATCTGAAGTTAATAAAGACAGATCACCGCCTAGTCATATACTGTGAACTGAAAGATTACTGCATGTTAACAGACGAAGTATTATATCAAGATTGCCACAAACATGCAGAAAAGTCCAGGGCCCAGGCTGCTGTTGTGTCCTTTACGATCAAATCATTGCACGCACGGTACAATACTGAGCAATCTGACATACCCAAATGCTGACTTCATTGCTAGTTTCCATGAAACCCCTATTAGGCAAGTAAAACGTAAGAACCTGTAATATGGTAAGGGAATCATCGCATTCTGATAATGATGTCAATAATAAACATCATTAATATTCTCACAATATGCTATATACTGCCAGGAATATATTAGCTACCATTAGTTACTTTTCACCTTCAATTAGAACAGGAAACAAATGACAACAATAACTGTGGTGACTGTATGCCAGGCATTTTCCAAATGATAGCATACCTATTAGGGAAACACAAAGACGACCACACTAGTCATTTGCATTTTGTTATTAACTTCTGTTTTCGTTAAAAGCCTCCAGACCTGTGAAACACGTCTCCTGAAACGGCATCTTTGCAACTGCATTAGGGATCCAGAGATTCTTGTAAATATGCATTTTCAAATAGTTTAATGAGATTTTAAGGGAATGTGGCACAGAGCAAACGTGGAGGTATGAGGCTATGAACAGCCTGATCTCCCTGTAATGTACTTGGGCTGTGATAAACCTGACGGAGCTGGGAAGGGGAAATCTCTCCTAAGCAGTACAGTGGCCACTTCCTTTTCAGAAGCATGAGATTTAATTTCTATCGTATTTACTTTTAACAGAAAAAATGCCACTGTCACCTACTGCAAAATAAAATATTCAAACTCGATAGCATACACCCATTCAGTTTACACATTTCATTACCAAAATGTGTGGTTCAATGCCAGAATTTGTTCTTCTTCCTCCTGAAAAACTTCAGAGAGCCTACCTTCCCATTTGTCTATAGAAATAAATTGATCATCTCACACACCTCTTTTTATGAGCAAAAATGAAACACCAAGTTTTAAGATACTGAAGAGCCAAGTATAGTATCTAAGCTTTTCAGTATGACGAAAAGTATCTTCAATCTTTGGTTGTCCTGAGAACATGGCTGAAGCTACTCAGGGTTCTATACCAGTGTAGGGAGGTTTGTTTTGTTACTAAATAGCCAACGCTACACTGGTGTTCGGTACCACAAAAAGTCAGGAACATTCAGAAAAGTAGTAATACCCCACAGAAGACTGCTAATTCACCTGCTGTAGAACTTCTGGGTTCTGCTGCATGAAGTGAAGCAATCTCTGTCCATCCTGTGAAATCTCTCTACATCTTGGAGTCTTCTTGCCTTCTTTAGCGAGGTGCTTGAAGAGGTAGGTGACAATATAGTCTAAACTAGCGCAACAGCTGGAGGAGACAATTGTATCTGTGTAAAAAATGAAACAGTTTTGAAATTGTTTCCATGAAATAATAATTAATAATGACATTTTATAGTACTTGGAGAGCTCAACTTTAATAATCTTTTTGACATTAGGCTAATCAATACATCGACAAGCCTATTTTTGATACATGAGTTGACTAGCTTTGAAGACTGCTTTTATTAACACACAGCAGTATTAAACCTTTGCTTTTGAGTAACTGGATAGCTCTATGTACTAAAGATCCTATGAACTCCAGTGAACTTCATTCACAACTGTATGAATGCAGCTGCCCCTCTGCATACTGGAAAGTGCAGGATGAGGGCTGACATTTTATTGGTATTCAGTTTCACATTCAGAAGGCTCCAGATTACTGGAAACTAAAATTCTGTTTTGAGCTGCTTACTGAAGAGGCAAGGTTACATCAGTAGAACTGTTGTCCAGGTTTCTCTCGAGTAGTATTTCACAATGTTTCTCTGCCCCAAACAGCTTACAATCAACGTCAAGTTGCAAACAATGAACAAGGGCCATTAAAAGTAGTAAAAGGGTGATCACAGAACAGCCAGTTAGTCATCTTGCTTAACAACTAATAATTCAAGCAGGATAAGGCACATTAAATATGGCTGGCAACAACACAACAGGATTCACTACCAAATACTTCATAAATGTCCCCAAAACTGAAAGTCATGACAGCAAAGGAGGATACTGTTGAAAAGCAGAAGCAAAAGCCACTTCCTACCTTTACTTACTGTTTCCGTAAGTACAGGAGATTAAAAGCCTAAACCTATTTGCAGAATGTCTGTCTGATTCACGTAAGTTATTTTGTTGCTAGATGTTGCCTGCTGTGCTGCTGCTGTGAAAGAGGATTCTGCTCACTTCCATGCATCAGCACGGTGATAAGTGTGTACTGGTCCTCAGTTCTCATGCATGCTCCTCTCGTCTTCCTCTTGAACACAGTGCTGCACCTTTCGCCCTGCCCAGCTGCTGTCTCCTTCTGGCCTGACACCTGAGATACTGCTTGGCCCCAAGACCGATGGCTGCGAGTTAGACATTTGCAACTGTGCTGCCTCACAGCTACGGTTCCATAATCCTGGCCAGAGCCGCATGTTTACACAACTGCCAGTTCCTCGCAATACCAACGCCAACTGAAGCTCTTTATATACATGCAGTGGTTTAACCTTCTGGCTGCAAGGTTTAGCCCTAACTGATAATCTCTGCAATTTCAAACATCAGATCCAAATGAGTGGAGCATTTAGGACTCCATCCTGTTGCCACTGACTTCAACTAGAACTTGTCTAGGCCTTTTATAGTTCACAGTATTTATTTTAGATGGGCCACTGGAGTAAGCGATATGTGGGGGATGCAAAAGGAATTAAACTGTTAAAATGCTCATTCTGAGGGAAAAGGGATTGAAGGATCCAATTAAATGTACCTTGAATTCTTTAAACTATGCTAATTTGGAGGCCTGCCAACCTTGCAGTGTTCATTTAAACACATCCCTCTAGACACTGAAGTATTTTGATCTGTGTCTGTTTAACTCCTTAAGCTCTGTGCTGACACTATTAACTCTTCGCCATCTAAAAACTAATTGTATTTTGCTAAGAGGGTTTTGAAGTAAACGCTGAAGCAATGTTGACAAGCGAAGAAGATACAAGTGGTCTCCTAAGACTTGATCTTCCAAAGCAA